GGGAGAGGAGGAAATTCCACAGAGCACGAATGAAAAATAAAACCTCCTTGTTTACATTTTGTAAAATGACCGCACAGGCTTTCAATTTCTGCTTTCGGAAGCGAGGGCACGGGCTTTCAGACTTAAATTTATTTTTGACCCAAGAGTAAAGCGGAGGAGAACTTTAGAGACCACAACCTTTCATTACGTAAGCAAAAATCTCTTTGTTCTGGGCTATGTGAACATTTGCATCCTAAAATGCAGTGAGGCTCTTTCCCCCTGCTGTGTTTCAAGTTGCATGTACAGGTTTCTGTACACACCAAACAAATGGCAGGAATGCCTTTTTGTTTTCTGCACACCTGCAACCCTCCACCCCAAAAAGCTCCTATTCAGGAAACTGTCATCCATGGATGTGCAATGGCTGTCTCAGCTTTATACACCTCCGCTTAACTGCGGAGTCAACATGGTGTAAGTTTTCCTTTTGGATTGAAACTACAGAATAGCTCTGCATTATGGGTAAAGCCATGTGTACACAGATGGCAAACATGCTGGTGGGAGTGTGCTGGAGCAAGAGTAAATGGAAATGTGTTGTTGTTGTTGTTGTTGTTGAGTTGTTTAGTCGTGTCTGACTCTTCGTGACCCCATGGACCAGAGCACGCCAGGCACTCCTGTCTTCCACTGAATCCAGCAGTTTGGTCAAGCTCAAGCCCCAGCCCCGGCTCAGCTGGTTCTGGAGGCGGGGACTCCTGTGCAGGCTGGGATTCCTCAGGTTCAGCCTCTGAGTCCAAATCCCAGGCCATCACACCTTGGCTCCACATTGTCAACCTTCTTTAGTCATTTTTCTTCATCTGTGCAGTCCCAAAACATCAAGAGAGGCTGCAATGCCACTGGAAATACTAGCAGAAAGTACTAGCCGACTCCTAGCCCTAAGTGGCACAGGTAGACAGCATCACTGGACTGTGTCCCACCTGTGCACCCTAGGTGCTGTTATTTGCTCTCCAACTACAGAATCTGCACTATGTATGTTCAGTAGGTTCCATGTCATGCCCTTCTAGCCTTCCTGGTTGCCTTCAAGTAGCAGTGGCTGCACAATACTCTTAAGTGGTTGATAGCCTAACACTTGGTGGTCTAGCATTGGGATGGAGGCTTAAGTTGTCCTCTACTCCCAGTGCCCAGGGTGAGGGTCAAGTTTCTCTCCCTTTCGACCAGGGCCCAGATTGCCAACACTTTACACTGTCCTATAGGAGATGGGGAGCCATGGAAAACTAATTGTACTCTTGTTCTGCATAAGGTCTACCCTCTCTTCTGATTTTTCTGGCCAAGCTAAAGTGTCAGAACTCAAGAACTGGCTTCAGTGTTTATACATTGAGTGGTAGAATGATGACAACTTTGGAGTCAACAACTACAGCATGATTTATTTATTTTTTTAAAAGTGTCCCCGGATTCATTGAAAAAAATCTGGTAACCATATCTTAGTCCCTAGCACCAGGGCATTTTTTCCAGCTGGAACTCACCAGACCACCAACCCGTCTCAGGTGGGCACCACTGCCATTATAAGAGAAGAAGGGAGGCATTCAGGGTGAGTTCTGGCACTTCTTTTTCTAGAAATAATAATAATAATAATAATAATAATAATAATAATAATAATTATTATTATTATTATTATTATTATTATTATTATTAATGTCTCGTCCATCTGGCTGGTCCAGCCACTCTGGGTGACTCCCAATAGAATATTAAAAACACAATAAAACATCAAACATTAAAAACTTCCCTGTACAGGGCTGCCTTCAGATGTCTTCTAAAAGTCAGATAATTGTTTATTTCGTTGACATCTGATGGGAGGGCGTTCCACAAGGCAGGCGCCACCACTGAGGAGGCCCTCTGCCTGGTTCTCTGTGACCTCGCTTCTTGCAGTGAGGGAACCGCCAGAAGGCCCTCGGCGCTGGACCTCAGTGTACGGGCAGAACGATGGGGGTGGAAATGCTCCTTCAGGTCTACTAGACCAAGGCCATTTAGGGCTTTAAAGGTCAGCACCAACACTTTGAATTGTGCTTGGAAATGTACGGGGAGCCAATGAAGGTCTTTCAGGACCAGTGTTATATGTTCTCGGCGACCATATATAGCTCAGCCCAGCACACATCACTGTCAAGTTGCAATTAAGCCTTGCTTCATTTTCTCCTCATGAGGAAGGTGAAGCTGAGACTATGCGGTTTGTTGAGGAGACTCCTCCAGGGTCATATCTCAGGGGAAATGCGGGTTCTCCAAATGCATGTTTCAAGCCTACTTTCTTCAGCTGCAACCACACTCTCTGTCCCCACCCGCTTTCAGGCAGCTGTTAACGTGTTGAAAGTTTACAGAAAGTCCTGCAAGCTAAGAAGCTGATCAGTTTTCCGTGACCAGAACCTTTTTATCTTCAGGAAGTGGTCTGCATTTATTTCCATCTAGCAAAGTCATTTGACAAAGGAAATCCTGCCTTCCAGCAAAAAAAGGATAAACTGACACATCCATTTATTTTTTTCATTTTAGTATATCTAATAGTTTTGTGGTTACGGCCAGTGTGGTTTACTAAAATTACAGCTGAATACTAGAGGATCTGAAATAGCAAAAGTGCTGGAAGATACACAAGTTCCTTTTTTGTGTGAGGGAGGGGGAAAATAGCAAGACCCCCCCCCGAGCTGATGGGACCTTTCTGCTCAGGGCTAATATAGGAGCTTCAGAATGATGCCGGGATGTTTTTCCCCTGGAACAAGAAAGATCTTCAACCCTCCTTTCACATGCCTTGGTCCTGATTCTGAACCCCACCTGATTGTACCTGCAATTTATAAAATGAAATGCATCCATGTCATTCACCAAATTAACATCATATGTAAAGGTAAAGTTAAAGGGACCCCTGACCATTAGGTCCAGTTGTGGCCGACTCTGGGGTTGTGGCGCTCATCTCGCTTTACTGGCCGAGGGAGCCGGCATACAGCTTCCGGGTCATGTGGCCAGCATGACTAAGCCGCTTCTGGCGAACCAGAGCAGCGCATGGAAATGCCGTTTACCTTCCCGCCAGAGTGGTACCTATTTATCTACTTGCACTGGTGTGCTTTCAAACTGCTAGGTTGGCAGGAGCAGGGACCGAGCAACGGGAGCTCACCCTGTCGTGGGGATTCGAACCGCCGACCTTCTGATTGGCAAGTCCTAGACTCTGTGGTTTAACCCACAGCACCACCCACCTCCCTACATCATATGTAGCTACATCATATGTAGCTAGGCCCTAATTCAGTTGGCTGAGAATCTTGGGTGGAAGAAAGCAACCTCGGCAAGAGCCAGGTTACTGGGTGGTTTGTGTGTGTGTTATCTGGCACATGTTAGCAGGGCAGACACAGCAATTGGTTTGGTGTTTCAGAGGAAAACATCAGAGAGATTGGGTAGATGGTGCATTGCAAGTATTGCGGGCACGTGAGAAGTGTCGGCGCAGAGAGGAACGGGCCACATTGGATGAGTAATGGGCAGCGCAGGGTTGGTCTTTGCATAGTGCAAATGATTTGAATGGGAAAACTGGGAATAGATCTGGAGTAGAGGACAGGCCAAATGAGGTGTGATGTGCACATGTTGTCAGGTAAGTGTTGCATGTCGTGAATCAGGATGTGCCTTGGCAAGAGGAAGCAGACGGTGCTTTTACTCAGGGGGTGGAGGGTAGAAGTCATTGCAGATGGCAGGGGATGGGGTCCAGATGGCAGCAGATGACAACCTCTCTCCAGTCCTCCTCCCACCTTGCAAGTATCGGGTGGCCAGGCTGACGAATCATTTCCCTGGACATTTTTGGAGCACGCTGCTATGTTTATTTTTTTCTTTTTTTGGGGGGGGGGTATTGTTTTATCTGGCAGCACATTCTTTTAGCTCCATCATATAGATTTATATGTTGCCGGCAGGGGGGGAGGTATTCTGGCTATTTCTTCTACCCTGCTTATGGACTGTTTTGGTAATAAGCGGCATATAAGGATGCAAAATAAAATTAATTCCAACGGTATCACAAGAGTCTGCTGAGCATGCAAATCCAGTGACTAAGGGCAACAGTTGTTGTTGTTGTTGATGATGATGATTGAATTTATATACCACCCTATACATGGGGGTCTCAAGGCGGTTCACAGAATAAAATCAAGATATAAAACCACAAGATAACTAATAATAATAAAAACAACAACCCAATAGGCACCCCCAAAAAAAACATTTTAAAAGGGCATAGGATGTCAATCAAATCAACCAAAGGCCTGGTTAAAAAGGAACATTTTTGCCTGGTGCCTAAAGGTGTGTAATGAAGGCACCAGGTGAACTTCCCTGGGGAGAGTATTCCACAGGCAGGGAGCCACTGCAGAGAAGGCCCCACTCTCGAGTTGCCACCCTCCGGACCTCACATGGAAAAGGCACACAAAGAAGGACCTCAGAAGACGATCTCAGGGTCCGGGTAGGTTGATATGGAAAGAGGTGGTTACAAAGAGAGGCTTTTGCATAAAATACTGGGTGGCGAATAAGGTAGGAGAGGCAGGACCACAGAACGCAGCCGTAAAACACAGAATGTGTGACCGTCTCTGTGTGGGAATCTGTACGAAATGCTTCTATCGCCTTGATTCTTTCTGCAACACGGCTGCTGCCATGCCAGCTGTTTTCCTCCATTTAAAACAGGCTGCTTCTAGGTGACCTGTTTATTGAGCATTCAACCTGATTTTTATTTGCTGGGAGATTAGATGGTGCTATTTAATGAGCTATTTCTCCTGATTTGTTTGTGGGGAGGTTAGATGGCGTCATGTTGAGCCAAGTGTCACCTCACACTTTCCAGGGCATTTTGCTGCCCTCATCCCTCATCAAGGAAATGGGTTTCGCCAGTATGTGGTTGAATCCCTTCCCAAAATACCATCCGTCCAGAAGCACCCAGAATATCACACGTACCTTTCCCGTCGCACAAACCAGAGGCTACAGCTGCTGAAGCAGAACCCAATCCATCACCTTATCCTCTGCTCTTCCCTCATTTCCAGATCGCAGAAAGAATCATCATCTTATTTGTTGTGATTGTCAGTCAAGAAGAAATTCAAGGAAAATGTGTTGTGTGCATCTTATTCTTCCTCTGGAGTTTCCTTGATGTGGTCAGGTAAGAACTTAACACAGACATGCACGTCCCTCCAAAGTAAACCAAATGGTTTTTCTTTCGGCCTTCCATATCTACATTTGGCAGGCAATTAAGTTTCATTATCTGGTCTGCTTCTCCTGCAAAAGCAAATCCTAGGAAGACTAGAAAAAGGACAAAGCGTGGGCACTCCCTCACTTTCTCCAAGCATTACTTATCGCTTTGGCCTTGCTGCTAGCTGCAGTCTACAAATTGTGTATTTCCCTAGATTTTTAGAAACAGAGAGATACACAGAAACTGTGTGGATTAAATTGGTTGCTTTGGGCCATTGCTTGGGTCCCCCAAGGGACACAGGTGGCGCTGTGGGTTATACCACAGAGCCTAGGACTTGCCAATCAGAAGGTCGGTGGTTCGAATCCCCGCGATGGGGTGAGCTCCCGTTGCTTGGTCCCTGCTCCTGCCAACCTAGCAGTTCGAAAGCACGTCAAAGTACAAGTAGATAAATAGGTACCGCTCCAGAGGGAAGGTAAACGGCGTTTCCGTGCACTGCTCTGGTTCGCCAGAAGCAGCTTAGTCATGCTGGCCACATGACCTGGAAGCTGTACGCCGGCTCCCTCGGCCAATAAAGTGAGATGAGCGCTGCAACCCCAGAGTCGGCCACGACTGGACCTAATGGTCAGGGGTTCCTTTACCTTTACCTTGGGTCCCCCAACTAGATTGCGGCCTGCTCTAAGGCAGGTTGCAAGAGCAACTTTATCGCCATACGTGCATATATGGTAAGAAGGCTAAGAAATTGGTCTGCATATTCCTGTTTGGAATAAAGGTGGGTCCCAGGTCTGATAAAGCTGAAGGCCTCAGATTTAGGCTGCACTGAGAGAAGGGGGCACAGTTCTGTTGGAAGAGCAAAAAATGTGAGCAAACTGGTTTTTCAAGGTTCCTGCTATTTACCTGAGGCAAAAGAGATAAAGTAAGCACAGGGCAACAAAGTCAACTACCTAGTAAATCTAAGCAACACAGAACTCTTGAGAAAAGAGGTGGGTGCTCTCGCCTTCCAAACACAGCAGCCCTTAGAGATTCGAGTGGTTATCTTTTATGTGGACAATCAAGTTTAGACATTGCCTGTTTGCCTATTTCCTACTGGGAGAGAGGACAAGATCATTTCAGAAGCCCCAGAGTTCGTGGGTCATTTAATGATAGCTGAAATGGATAGAATACGTAGCATTGGCAAGTTTGACGTGTAAAATTAGAGATCAGAAAGAGACTGATTTTAAAGGAGATTGGAAAATGTTTGTAGGAGACGTAAAAACTCAGTGTAAATATGTTGAAACACAAATATGATTTGAGTAAGAACAGCACTGGGGGTGAACTTTTTGTTTTTCTTTTGTGATAAGGTGAGGGTATAGAATAATATGCAGCGTAAATTGAATTTTTGAGGGAATCAGGGAAGGAGGAAGGATGGGGAAGTCGTAGGTGGAATGACTAATTGTCAAATTTGAAATGTTGTAGAATTGTTTGTTAATTTTAAAAAAAATAATAATAATGTAAGGAGTTTTCAGTTGGCTAACTGTGCAGTCTCACTCAGACGTAAGTCTTACTGAACCCAGTGGAGTTACCCCCATGCAAGTTGGGTTGGGGTTGTGTGATTTAGCTTGCAAACAAAGCAGAAATACAAAAGAGCAACACTGTGTCTCTGCGAAGTCCCAGTAAACACTGGCTGTGGCGATAGAGCCCAGTAACATCTCAAAGGCACCACAACAATGGCTCCCCTTGTTCTTTGGCTTCCCATCTTCCTCACATTTTGGGAATCAGGATCAGTGAAATGATACCTTTGAAGTTCTACCAACTGAGCTATCACAGCAGTCAAGTTGCTGCTTAAAAGGAGACTTCTTATAAATCTCTGAAAGTCACAAAATATGCATTCTTGATGGATTCTCTTGAAAACATAGTAAAGGTAAAGGGACCCCTGACCATTAGGTCCAGTCATGACCGACTCTGGGGTTGCGGAGCTCATCTCACTTTATTAGCCGAGGGAGTCGGCGTACAGCTTCCGGGTCATGTGGCCAGCATGACTAAGCCGCTTCTGGCGAACCAGAGCAGCGCACGGAAACGCCGTTTACCTTCCCTCTGGAGCGGTACCTATTTATCTACTTGCACTTTGACATGCTTTCGAACTGCTAGGTTGGCAGGAGCTGGGACCGAGCTCCGGGAGCTCACCCCGTCGCGGGATTCGAACCACTGACCTTCTGATCAGCAAGTCCTAGGCTCTGTGGTTTAACCCACAGCGCCACCTGCGTCCCCTTGAAAACATAGACCCAAATTCACATAAGTATGGTTCTATGTTTTCAAGAGAATCCATCAAGAGTGCATATTTTGTGACTTTCAGAGATTTATAACATTTCTGTTTATTTGGTTTTGCTGAGAGTGCATATTTCATATATTTCATACTGTTCAATCTTCTGTATAGATTATATAAAGAGCTCATATTGACATCGCATTGTTGTACTTGGTTATCGTGTTGCCTTGGATATTACTGATAATTGTTTGCAACACAGGGGTTTAATTGTTTGGTTACTAAAAGGAGATTTAAGCTATTCAGCATCTCCAGCAGTGAAAAATCAGAACGTGGCTCACCCTCTTTTCACCTGCTTTTTATTCTAGATATACTTACTGTATGCTGGCAGTAACAGGAACATACTTTCAAGAATTGACGTGGCTCCATTATACGCTATGGATTCCTTTGTATCCTCTGTCGGTTTTGGCTGAAGGTAAAGGCAGAGCGAGGGCACGTGAAGAAGCCTGCCTGATTTCTAAGGCTTACTTGCTCAGGAGTAATGCCCATTGAATCCAAAGGGGCTTACTTTTGAGTAGAGGTGGAGGAAAAATTCAATTCAACACACATTTAAAGCAGATCCTTTGCAATGCTGTAAATGCAAGTTGCAACAGAGCTATCCTTCAAAATTTGCTCTCATCCTTTGTGATGCAGTCTCCAAACCAATGTTCACAAGCCCCAATCGGGATGAGCAATGGCTGGGGAAAATGGGAGCAGCAATTCGGCAATATCTGAAAAGACACAGTCTGCTGCAAGGAGACGGAACACCATCAAACTTTCATTCAGAATAGTTAGTTGTGTACTAAACATTTAAAAATCTTGACAGAATTGTAAGTGATTATTCAAAACCTGCTAATGAGTTCAAATCTTTGCCCTGATTCTGCATGCAGGCCAAAAATGGTTCCCAGTCTTTCTTGAAAGATTTTTTGTCCTTATTTCGAAGTCTCTCTGTTAATTAGCAAAAGTTATATAATTTGTAAGTTAAAATATAAAAAAGGAGGGGGAAAGGCAATATGCAGGCATAATATTATGGTGAAATAAACCAGAGAGGAAGGTTGAGGGAAGTCTGGGGGAATGGGAAAATTTGGAAATTGTGAATAATAATAATTGTTATGATGTAATATTGGGGAAAATGGAAAATGGAATAAAAAAAATTATATAAAAAAATCTTGACAGAATTTCAAATATCCAAATTCTCCACAGAGCACATCTGTGACAAACATGAAACCCTTCCCACCATGGACTGTGGGCCATTCTTTGCCTCCCAACTATCACCAACTTTCCTCCAACTTTCAAATGGGTTTTGAAAGACGATAAAAATCTGCTCTCTCCCCCTTTCAACCTCCAGCATCCTGAAACCCTGGAGAGCTGCTGCCATTGGTCTGACTCAGTAGAAGACAGTTTGCTATGCTCCTATTTCAGGGAGCCTGGGCTGAATGGAGGCTTTGATTTATTGTGCTGTCGTAGCTGCAGATTAAGGCTCTATCGAGAGGTCCAGAGGGTGGCAACACGAGAGCAGGGCCTTCTCTGCAGTGGCTCCCTGACTGTTGAATGCTCTCCCCAGGGAAGTTTGCCTGGTGCCTTCATTGCACACCTTCAGGTGCCAGGCAAAAACATTCCTCTTTTAACCAGGCCTTTGGTTGACCTGATCAACATCCCATACCCTTTTAAAATGTGGCTCTTTTGGGGGGGGTGTATTATTGGGTTATTGTTATTGTTTTTATTTCATATACTGTGATCCTTTTAATGTGAACCGCCCTCAGACCTCCGGGTATAGGACAGTATATAAATTTAATAATAATAACAATAACAATAATTTATTATGCATTTCAAGCACTAAACCTTTCTGGTGACTACATTACACTCCATCCAAAGTACAGAGTATCTGCCCTGCTAAAAATGGACTTTTATATGCAGTTGAAAACCTGCCTGTCCATTGTGCTTGACATGGAGCAGAGGGAACCTTGCCTGCGATAATTATAGATGGTATTACGTTGCATTAAGTTATCCATTATAGCTTTTTCTCATAAAGGAAGGCCTAAGACCTTTAATTTTGCTATTTTGGAGATTTTTCACTTACAAGCCACTAAATCATTTTTTTTTATCTATTTCCCCTCCCCCTCTCCAGAGTTTGCCATATATGAATCGCTACCTCACTTTGAAACCTACGGCACTTACTCAACCCAGCTGCCCTTACCATTTGATATATCCGTCTACTTTCCCTATGTACTAAAAATATACATGGCGATGTTGTTTGGAGGTAAGTTTTTAGTTTCTTGGCAAACACACAAAAAAACTGAGTTTGGCAAGCCTGGGGTATTGTAGCCCTAGTCTCTCAGTAGGGACTGAATTGGGAGTTGTTTGTATATATATCCCTCTTCTATTTCTTGGGCCAACTGTGCTGCTGAGAGCAGCCGCCTTGGGAGTGGACCTGAGGGAAGACTGCATCCCTCAGGTCCACTCCCCCTAGCTCCGCCCCCCACGCTGCCATGGATTGGTCAATTGAAACCGCATGGTTGGCAGTGCCCGTGATGCTCTGCGACGGCTGGGAGGCAGTGGTGACAGCTGCAGGACAATGGCGAGGCTCCATGGGGTGAAAGAAACAAGCGCCGCTCAAAAGAACCAAAAGAATACAGTGGTACCTCGGGTTACATACGCTTCAGGTTACATACTCCGCTAACCCAGAAATAGTGCTTCAGGTTAAGAACTTTGCTTCAGGATGAGAACAGAAATTGTGCTCTGGTGGTGCAGTGGCAGCTGGAGGCCCCATTAGCTAAAGTGGTGCTTCAGGTTAAGAACAGTTTCAGGTTAAGTACGGACCTCCAGAACTAATTAAGTACTTAACCTGAGGTACCACTGTACAGTCTTCCACAAGTGAAGAACTGGGGCTACATAATGTCACAACCATATCTGGGCATCTCTGTTATTATTATTACAGTGGTACCTCTGGTTACAGTGGTATCTCTGGTTGCGAACGGGATCCGTTCCGGAGGCCCATTCACAACCTGAACAGAACGCAACCCGCGTCTGTGCGTGTTGCGATTCACAGCTTCTGCGCATGACGTCATTGTGCGCATCTGTGCATGCGTGAGCGGCGAAACCCGTTCCGTTGCTTCTGGGTCGCCGCGGGACGCAACCTGAAAATGCTCAACCTGAAGCAAACGTTAGCATGAGGTATGACTGTACCTTGGTCCCCAAACAGCTTAGTTGTCAAACAAATTGGCTCCTGAACGCCGCCAAACCTGGAAGTGTTACGGTTTGCAAACGTTTTTGGGAAGCCGGATGTCCGGTGCGGCTTCCGATTGAGTGCAGGAAGCTCCTGCAGTCAATCAGAAGCCGTGCCTTGGTTTTCGAATGGTTTTAGGAGTTGAACGGACTCCCGGAATGGATTAAGTTCGAGAACCAAGGTACCACTGTGTTACTATTATTTATTAAATGTATTAAGTTTGTATACCACCCTATGCCCGCAGGTCTCAGGGATGTTCACAATATAACTACAACTCTAGCAAATGTTTTGAGGGAGAAAGGGCTTGGAAGATCCCTAGACTAGGACTAGCCGCCTGAGAAACAGTTTCTATCCAAATGCGATTTTGGTTTTAAATGCAGTGTAAGGTAGTCTCTGCTGGGACGCGGGTGGCACTGTGGGTTAAACCACAAGGCCTAGGACTTGCCAATCAGAAGGTTGGTGGTTCGAATCCCCGCAACGGGGTGAGCTCCCATTGCTCGATCCCTGCTCCTGCCAACCTAGCAGTTCAAAAGCACATCAAAGTGCAAGTAGATAAATAGGTACCGCTCTGGCGGGAAGGTAAACAGCATTTCCTTGCACTGCTCTGGTTCGCCAGAAGCAGCTTAGTCATGCTGGCCACATGACCCAGAAGCTGTACGCCGGCTCCCTCAGCCAATAAAACGAGATGAGTGCCACAACCCTAGAGTCGTCCGCAACTGGACCTAACGGTCAGGGGTCCCTATACCTTTTAAGGTAGTCTCTATGGGAGTATACTGTATTCAGTTATGGGGTATCAGAGTTTTTAGGGGGTTAACCAGGCTGGGATAGCTGGGATAGCAGGCTTGTTGGTTTTTGAACGTCTGGTGCAGATTTTTCCAATTTTGTTGTTCTGTATGGGAAAATGACAATAAGGATTATTGTATCATAGAGGGACCTAAATGGGCTTCATAAGAACAAGATGTCTTTGCGTTCTCCATATTGGTTTCTACCTTCTTGCACTCAGAGCCTGTTCTGGTTTGAATTTAGGTGCGTACCTCATTGTCCGATGCCTCTACATGGAACGGAAGGCTCAACTGGGAAGCTGGACCATCAAGGCCAAAAGAAGCTAGCTTACCTTTTCCTTAAGGAGTGAAGACGAGACAGTACCATGAGACAGTAATTTGGATAACTTTGGTTTAAAGACAGCAACACACGCTCTCAATATGTAGATCCCATGACACACATGGCGTGAGAAGTGTTTGTGTGTGCAGCAGAACCATGAATCTGGTGCAGAATTGGGATTTTTAAAGCACATTTTGGGACTGGGGTTGTGGGGAAAATGGCACCACAGAGCACTCAGCTGCGATAGAGCTGATTCTGAGGGTTTGCCCTCAAGGTGGGGACCGTCAAGGGGGCCCAGAGCAAAAATCACCAGTAGCCCAGCCTGGGTCCTGGGCAACTGCTCAGGGATGCTGCGTTCTGAAGCCTGGCCCAGTAGCAGGGAGAAGGACACTAAGCCTAGCCTTCTCTGCCCAACACACTAGCTATTTATGTACTCAAATATTTCTACGCCCTCCCCCAAATGGAGAAACATCGCATAATGTGAGCCACCAATTTGTGCAAGCGGTAAGAGCCAGACTTGGATTACCATCCTAGTGGAAACTGCCTCAAAGCCAACACAGGCAAAATATATTGGCGCAAATATTTAAGATTTGGAATGTTTGTCTTAACTTTTCCCACGGAATTGGAATTTCTGGTTAAATCATTCACGAACCTCTAGCCACTGGAAACATATTTTTTGTTTAAATGTGAAAAAAAGGATGTATTTGTCTCTTTCAACACATTTATGTAATGAAACCTAGAATTTTAAAGATTTATAATTATATATATGCAAAGTGGAGCAGTGAGTATATCTAAAACCAAGAGAATATGGATGTTCCATAGTGCTGTGTGGATGGAGTGTCACTCGTGGAAGAGGACTTCTGCTTCCACTTTGAGAATGTCCACTTCATCTTCTCCCCCTGTGTGGTCCCAAGATCTGTTCCAGAGGGTCCTACAACCTCCTGGAGCAGTTTTTAAGGGGGGGGGAGAGAGAGAAGCATAGTACTTTTGTTGGAGATGTATAAGTCTGTTGTACAAGTGGAACAGTAGCATTAGATACAAACCATGTGATATTACAGGTGAAATTCAGACTTTGCATTTCACCTATAATACCACATGGCTTGTATCTAATGCCTGCTGTTCCACTTGCACAACAAACTCTCACTAGTCCATAAAATTTCTGCTTTCCCCCTCTGAACCCCTTAAAAACTGCTCCAGGGGGTGCAAAGTGGTGTAAAAGTCAAAGGTAAGGATTGGGAAAAGGGCAAAAGATAATACTTGAGCTGATTAAACACTGTTAATCCTACGGTCCATGGGAGCCTCATAAATAAAACCAGGCTGGAGAAAATGTAAACTTCTCCTCATCTTCCATTCTGCTGTGTGCCTGGCAGGCCTCTAGATTTAGTGGTCCATTCTCTTTTGATACTCTCTTTTTCCATATGTTCAGATACCACCCCCCAACCAAAACCCCCAATGTGTCTCCCCTATCAGTCTCTCCATCCGCAGCAGGTGCTGTAACCTTCCAGCAGTTTGACTTCAGCCCTAAAGGCACACTCCATTGTCTCCTAAACAGAAGGGTGCCAACCAACACATGCTATAATCCATACACAGGCATATATTGTAGCACCTCGGCTTACGTTACCCTCGGGTAACGTAAACTTCGGGTTGTGAAAGCGGCAAACCCAGAAATGTTTCGCCACGCGTGCATGCGCAAAAGCACTCCACTACACCGCGCACATGCGCAGAAACGGTCCCTCCAGTTGCGGAAACCTCGGGATCCGACCGGAGCTCTGGAATGGATCCCGTCTGCAACTGGAGGTACCACTGTATGAGCCTGGATCCAACGTGCTACTTTAAGAGTGCCCAAAGGCTTTACTCGTTACCCTTCAACAGCAGAACCCCAATGAGTTCCCATTTTCCAACTGTTTCACAGCGGACGGGGTCTACCATTTGAATAATACATACAAAGTCTCGAGTAAATGGGTGCACAGAACTAGTTATTTTCCTCGGATTCAAACTCTTTGCATTTATTAAATACCCTGTAGCATATTTTTTGACCTGGATTCCAAACAGGCAAGATTTCCAGGCAACTTCTATCACAAAGCTGTAGACAATTTCATCCAATGCATCACGATACTGGGTTGCACGGTCTACTCTTTCTGTAACGGAAACCATCTCTCTGGAACAGACAATCATTGCCCAAATGTATCACAAAGCTTTTGTTGCACTGTCAAAACTTTCTATCCGGATACAATCTTTCTGGAACGGAAAGCACGCAACACATCTTAGTGTAACCACAAAACACCTCTTGGGCACCTCGTGTCTCAACAACAGCTCCACATGCGAAGACGACACCAGGAGGCTACCAGCCATAAGCCTTTGTCCATACTGCCTTCTTCCTGAACTCTGGGAGAGACCGCAGAGCCAGCAGAGATGCTGAGAAAATAAGGAACATTCACAGCAATTAGTCAACCCTGCAATTGCTCCTCCACAATTATGTTTTTAAGGATATGCTGGTGTGTGTGTGCGTGAAATGAAATGAAAAAAAGGCGAAGGTATTTGAAAACTTTGACCTGTTCGATTTGACCTGTTCGATTGGTTGACCATACGCCAACTGTGGGGCCTATAATTTCTTGAGAAAACCATGACTTTGTTTTTCTTGTACTTCATGGCCAGCTGTTCTCTCTGGCAACAGCTTGAAAATGCTCTGATCAGTCTTCTTAGGCCTACTTTTGTTAGGGACATCTGCATATACATCTGCATATAGTAGAACTGAGATGGGTTTTGTGGCCCAGTTTAGGGGCATGATACTCTGGGGTTGTTAGACACTGGACAATGTCATTTATGTATACGTTGAACAGTGCTGGTGTGTGTGTGTGTGTGTGTGTGTGTGTGTGAAAACATCCCCCCAAACTATTTCATTCAGACTCTCTGTGCAATTTGTTAAACAGATCAATGTGCAGCAGCAGCAAGGTTGAACGCTGACAAGGAGGAGGAAAACGTAAAAGCGTTCAATTGCCAGTGCTAAAACCTAAGCATCTACATACTTCTTTACATAAGACCCAAATCAAGGTACTGTGGGTATTGGAACTAAGGGCTAGACTAGACTACACCCAACTTGCCACTGAAACTGAAGCCAAGATTTCCTTTTAAGACAGTTTCCTTTCTAACCTAAGCTGATAGATGAATCAATACATATGGGAGAAAGGGATGTGAGTTGCTATTTAAGTGAAGCATGCAATTACATCCCAAATACTGACCACTAAACAAAGCACATTTATAAAAGTCAACAGCGTAACCCTCCTTCTGAAACGTAATGTTGATATTTATCCAATTTGAAAAGCTGTAAATGCAACAAATGCAACAATACCTTTCAAAAGATTCCTAGAAGACTGGGATAGCACTTCGTCTGAGCTCTCCATCAGGTTAAATAGCCAGTCAATGAACTAGGAAGAAATCAAAAGTTAAAACGCTAGTCTGATTTACTTACTGCCATAACTTAAATCAGCATTGGCGAGTAAGTTCAGGTTGAAAAAAACATTACCACTGTTAAGCTTACACCTGCTCTGATCAGAAGCCCAAACTATACAATTCATGCAAAGACGTGTAATGGTAACCCAATGGCTGTTTTGAAATTTTAAAAAGTTACTTTGGGCAAACACCAACGGGGAGAGAAACAACACCAGAATGTACCTTTTCCACATTCCACTGAAAAGTGGAAAGCACTTTTGGGGAATGATGCAAAATAGATGTGATGATCTCATAATACATGTTATTAGGCTTCACACTTTTGCCTTTCTGGAAACAGAATGCTTAGCTCTAGTTAGCACACTAACCACATTTCCTTGTCCTAGTCTGGTAAAACTTGCAAATGCTCAGTGGAGCTTGTGAGCTACACAAGTGCCAGAGAGCATGTCCAGAGGGCCACCAGTGAAATCTGCTTATCACATTGCGAGGAAAGAGAAACGTGCTTCAGTATGTTGTTGTTTAGACGTTTAGTCGTGTCCGACTCTTCGTGACCCCCTGGACCAGAGCATGCCAGGCACTCCTGTCTTCCACTGCTTCCCGCAGTTTGGTCAAACTCATGCTGGTAGCTTCGAGAACACTATCCAACCATCTCGTCCTCTGCCGTCCCCTTCTCCTTGTACCCTCCATCTTTCCCAACATCAGGGTCTTTTCCAGGGAGTCTTCTCTTCTCATGAAGTGGCCAAAGTATTGGAGCTGCATGATCTGTCCTTCCAGTGAGCACTCAGGGCTGATTTCCTTAAGAATGGAGAGGTTTGATCTTCTTGCAGTCCATGGGACTCTCAAGAGTCTCCTCCAGCACCAGAATTCAAAAGCATTAATTGTTCGGTGATCAGCTTTCGTTATGGTCCAGCTCTCACTTCCATACATCACTACTGGGGAAACCATAGCTTTAACTATATGGACCTTTGTTGTGCTTCAGTATGGTCTGCTCCAAAATAGGTGTTAACACTTACCCACAGTTTGCAATCTACTTCAAATCCAAGTCCTGGTTTGCAGCCAATCCTTAACCACAATACTTAACCTTAAGATATTCAGACTTTGAGCTGGTTCATATATGCAATGCTAACCAAATCAAATCATGGCTTAGTATAAATGCACAGAGGCGGCAATTTGCTCCCCAGGTAAGGATGATGGAGAGATTAGTTGCAGTTTGCGTTTAAATGCAAATTGGCTGAATTCACACTTTGCCAAACTATATGCAAACCGAAAGAGAGCCATTCTTTGAGATTTGCACTTCTCTGAATTTTGCAATGTAGTTCTCCAGACAAGAACCAAAATGCACATACGAGTGCATATATTAGTGAAAATAACAAATATTATGGGAAATATTAGCTCAAACACAGACGTAAAAAGTCGTGCAAGCCTTCATTTCTACTACATATGGTATACAGTTCTATTACAGCACAATTTTTATGGATACTTTTTTATGCAATATCAGTGCAAGAATCCCCACATGCACAGAAAATAGAAGGGAAAGTCAGACCCCAGTGTTATAATGCAATGAAATTTAGTGTAGTGATAACTATATTAAAGGAAGGAAATAGCTAATTTCCCTTCTCCACACTTCTGATCTGTTTTTAAGCCCCATTGCTTACGCTTGCTTTGTCCATTTAACAAAGAAATAACACCATGACTAAATGTGAAACTTTCCCAGCATTCTCCGGAGCTTAATGTTTGCATAGATGGCTTTTGAGACATCTTCATTATCCCATTTTGCTCGTATCTGACAGAGTTCTCATTTATATTTATGAGTCGCTTTTAATAATGTCTGTTTTTACGGCATGTTTGGTTCCAGGTAATAATTTTGTATGCTGATTTTATGCAAATATCACATTAAGTGCGCTGAATAAGACTCAGGCTACAAATTCCCAAAACAGCGATGTACAAAAAGACCCAATAATAATATAGACACATGGACATGTCCTATGTTCTGTCTGCACTGTACTCATAACAACATTTGCACTAATCCAATCAATAAGAAATAAGTAAGCCTCAGTACGAGTCCACTGATGATAGAAATTCCTCTAACCAGAACGCCAGCTACATACCTTTTGTGTTTGTTCCTTCCAAGGCTCTTTAGCCAACAGACTCTGCAGGCTGCCTGGGAAAAGAGCGAGGGTCTCCCGCGCAGCCAGATTATCTCCCGGGCGCTTGCCCAAATAATTTGCAGGCAACGCTGATCTTGCTTCCCCTTCCCAGGTGGCGCTGAGGCCAAGCAGCAGCGGCGCAGAGTGGTCAGCCCAGGCCACCACGGAGGCAGCAAAGATCC